AAGTTCCCTTGGAACGAAGATAGTACAAACTCCTTGTGTTTCTCTTTGTTTTCTCTACTTCTGTTCCTTTCATTCCTGAAGTTCCTGGATCTAGCAGAGTGCCTGACACACAGCAGGTCTCTAAAAAATACTGCTGAATTGACTTAAAAACCAGGCATGGAGCTCTATGCCTGGTGACCGCTAGAGAAAGCAGAAAGGCAGAAATCAAAGGGTATTTGAAGCATAGCCTCCTCAACTCCTTTAGGAGTTGAGTATCTAATCCCTTTCCTTGAGCCTTTGCAGTCTCTGCTAATTTCAATCTACTGTATTATAATTTCTGAACTTGCTTCAAGGGCTTTTGTTCTACCCGACACCCACCCTGTATAGGCGCTAGCTATGAGACACTGAGGATTTGTAATCCTTGTCAGCTGGCCTGCTCTGCTACTGTGGAGTAGTGGCAGGAAACTGCTAGCGGCCTTTTCAGACATGAAAAGGCCCTGGAGGAGAGCATACACTCATAAAAATTATGGGATACCACAGCTCTGAAATCTAGTGATCTTGAGTGATCAAACACAGACTGGGCCCTTGGGGCTGCTGTTGGAGGAACTGAGGGGCTGAGAGACCCTGGGGTCTGGCAGCTGAACAGAGTAATTAGCCTCTGTGGGAAGAGATGAGGAAGCTGGCAGTCTGAGGGTATCTGCCCTGAATCAGGGGAGAAACAACGATAGCCAAGAGCTGGGTGGTAAACAAGTCTCTCTGAAAGGAAATCAGTCCTTACTCTTGGCCCCTGCCCTGCCTAGTGTATGGCCATAGGGAGATGGACTTTATTTGTGCCTCTTGAGTTGCTGGGAGTGAAGAGCAGTAGGTGAAACCATGTCTCCAAGCCAGGGCTGCACGAAAGCCTAGAGTGCTTGGGACACAGAATACCAAAAGCATGTGTCGTTTGGGGGTGAGGATAATCATGAAGAGAAGGGACATACTAAAAATCAGACTTTGCTCAGCTTCCATCTTTGCTCAGAGCTGGTCCCGCTGACACCCTTTCGGAAATGGGCTTACTACATAGTTGATGAATGAAGTGGGCAAGTCATTTTCCCCTTCTAGGGCCAATTTCCTCCATCTGTAAAACGAGGAGTTTGAACTGCACTGGAAATCTATGACCTGGTTTCAAATCTCAGTTTAATCTGTCACTGATGAACCATGTGAACCTGTGGCAGCCTTTTCCCACTTCTAGGCTTTGGTTCTCTCAAATTCAATACAGAGAGTATGGACAAGGGAAACTCTAAGGTTATTCCCAGCTTTGTCATTCTTGTATGTCTCTCCTGCATCACCCTCAACTCCAGGCTCTGTCACTGCCAGGCTGTGTCACCCAGCTATACCAGTCCCTTTAGGTTCCCCATCAGTACCATAAGGGAGAGAGAAGGAGGATTAACTTGGATTATTGTTAAAAACTTGCCAGTTTTCAATATGGCATGTTTGTAGCAAGATGTTGGCCTTGCTGGGGCCTCCACTCCAACTCAGTTGGTTAACCATGTTCTCAATTTGTAACCATTTTCCCACTTCAGAGGTCCCTAAAAAATCCAATCTCAAATAGTCCACCCAACTCCAAACCCCTATATAGCTCCTTTTATAACTTTGCTCTCACAGAGAGGGCATGGACCCTGGAAGAAATTTGATTTGAAGTAAAACTTCAGTTCTGAAGCCAAACTTCCTGCTATTAATCAGGTTAAGACTATTTCACCCTTGTAGGCAACAAACATACCAAAACCAAATTTTTAGATCTGTTTATTTTGTTCCAAACCCCTTGAGGATTTAAATGTCCCATGTCTCAAGCTCAGAAATTTTGTTCGTTCTCCTAGATTTAACTGTGGTGCATAAGAGGCTACCATCCTACTCTAAGCATTAATACTGTGCTGCTTTGACAATCAACATTCTCTCCAAAAGCACACAAGCTCACGCATACACATCCACATGTGTGGAAGAAATAAATTGACACCCCACCATGTTATATGACTCCTGAATGAGTGGATTTGGGACCTGGAGAGAAGTGGATGGCAGCCTGATTCTTAAGAATTTTCCATGCCATGAGCAACAAAGGAGACCCTGCAGAACTGCTCTCCAGTGACTTGGTGGGAGTGTGGCAGGGAGGAATAGAAGCAGGGGCATTGTTGCTCCAGTATTTCCAGTGGTCTCTCCTGGGTGTTACAGGGCTCCTAGGTCCCAGCTTCTGCTGTTCCACTGCTGTTGGAACTGATAGAACAGTAACTAGGCCCCTTCTAGGCCACTTCCCTACCCTCAGAACCAAGAACTAGTGGGTCTTCCTTTGGGGAGTTGGTAAGAGCTGGACTGGGACCAGCGGAGGGGGCTCAAGGCTTTGGCCTTGAATAAAACCATCAGAGGCCAGCCATGCCCCAGCTGCCTGTTTGTAACGGAAAAACTCATGGGTGGAGACCATTGTCTTCTTTGGAGCCCTTCAGGGCAACCTCATCCTCCTGGCCCTGGGATGACCCTGGCCTAGGGGTGGCAAGTTACTGTTGGCTCCAAGTGACAGCCAGGAATGCCTGGAAAAAAGATGATGAAAGGGTGGGTGACAGAAACACAATAGACAAAGGCCCAGAGAGGGGGAAGAAGAGACACAAAGAAGCAGAGTGAGGAGAAAGGCTGAGTTCCTAATGAGGTGAGCTGTGCTGCTGAACACAGCTTGGCAGTACCCTCTGCCCTTAGCTGGGGCACTGGGAATGCTCTTCAGTAAGACTGTTGCCCAAAGCCTGGGCTTAGGGAAACATCTGGCACCTACTTCAGAGGGATGAAGGAGGTCTAGAGTCTATTTTTCATGGCCCCTTTAATGCCCGCTAAGCAGAGTGGCTTAGGATGCTTAGCATAGGAAACACATAGGGTGGTAAAGGCTAAAATGGCTTCCCCTTCCTAAGGGATATTGTCCAACCCTATGTGCAGCTTCTGCCTGTACCTTTTTGGGATCCAGGCTAGGAATGTTTATTTGTTTGTTTATCTTTGTTTTTTTCCTGAAACAGTCCCTTTCCTAGGCTGGCCCAGGTGGAAATAGTAACCTGTGATGAAAACTGAGAGATGGAGAAGTTAATATTTCACCATGTCAATAGCCACTGTCCCTACCCCACCATGCCAGCTCACTGTCATAAGTCTTCCTCTGCCTGCTGAGATGAAAGGGGTTTCTTCACATTTTGAAGGTGGATACAAGAATGGGGAGCTGGGCAGGCCTCCAGGTTAATGTATTGCCCTGGAAAATCTGTAAAAATAAGTGAATGGAACATAAAACTATGTGGTGTTTAAGGCCCCTTCCCTATATGATATTCTATTCTTCCAGTCTGTGATTATATCAGCTTGAGCCAAAAAGTGAGACATGGCTCAGCCTGAGATGAGTGGGATTGATGGTAGTGTTGGGGATGGACTGGACCAAAGTGAGGTTGATTGGCCCAAGCTCCGGGTCCCTCCTTTCTTCAAGCACCCATATGTGACAGTTATAAAAAGGAATAGAGGGGGAAGAGAATGGACAGGAGGCAGTAGAGGAAAAAAAGAAGGAAGAGAAGAGGGGAGCAGACTGTTAACCAACTGTATGGAGGTACTACCTGTATACAGCTCTTGAGAAGCCACAAGCCTCAGAAACTGAAGCTAAACAAGGCTCCTTGTCTCATTTTGCCTCCCTACCCGCTCCAGTGGCTCCCAAAGATGTATGGCAATGAACTCCTCAGCAAACAGAGGCTTGAGTCTCCTCTACTAAGCTCCTGGGGACACAGTAGCACCTTTGGCAGTTGATTTCAGTGGGTGACTAACAAGCTGGGGCCAGGAGGTCCCATCCTCCTCTTTTCCTAGGGGTTAGAAAGTATATGGAGAGGTTCCAAAGGCCAGGGGTGATCCCAAGCTTTCCCATATCCCGGAAGAAGGGCCCTGGTAAGTTTAAAGGCATTCATGGGGAGAATTTGGTTAATGAGTTTGGAACACCTGGAGCTTTGGCTCCAAGGGGATGGTCAGGTGGCTGAAATGCTGTGTGCACAGGTTTGGGAACAAGCGTGCTGGTGGCAAAAGTGTAAATGCTGAGCAGGGTGGGAGTGAAGGGAAAGGGCTTGGGGAGGAGCACACAATGGCAAGAAAAGAGGCATTAGATTGGTTCTTCAGGGGTGGGGGAGCCTGGCAGTAGTTCCCCATTGGGGTCTGGGTCAGGGGTCAACATCTTATCCTTGCTGGAATCCCTCTGCTCTTTCTTGAACATCCTTTGATGCATCAGAGGGACGAAGAAGAGGATTACAGCCCCAATGATGGGGGGTACACCAGCAAAGTAGAAGGCCACGTGGTAGTCCCCAAAACAGTTGCGGAGGAGGCCTGAAACAAGAGAAAGTCAAGCTCAGGTTTGCCCTACTGCCCAAAGGTGTTCTCTGCTTCTTCTACAGGGTCATCACAGTGCATATCCAGAGAATCTTAATCTATATTGCCTTGACTCAGAAGCTCCCTCATCTTCAAAGACAGGTAGCTCCTCCCTGAGGTACTGGGACTATAGGCTCTTGAGGTGAATGTTCATTATGAAAGAAGCTCCTAAAGCTTCTCTTAAAGTTTCTCCATCTGTGACTTTCATTGAGCTACAGCTAAGTTCTAGTCACTCCTAGGTATAGAGCTTGGAGAAAACCTAGTTTAAAAGAACTCCACAGAAGATGGCCAATCCTTGTCTTGGTTCACAGCAATATTCCCTATCCCCCTACCTCCCCAACAAATTGTTCTTTTGAGACAATTCCACTGAGTTTCTATGTGTCTTTTCTCTCATGTGTCTTTTGTCTGAAGATCCATTTGCCCTAGGAGGAGGTTGTACTCATACATCTTCCTTCCAGTTATAGACATGGTTGGCTTCTCTGAGTTCCTCCAAGCTGCCAATACCATGGATATGTTTGGCATGAGATGCAAGGCCTTCCCTGCTCACCTCCGGAAACTAATATGAGGTAACTTATAGTACCTCTGAACCCAGAAACAGTGTCCAGGAAAGGCAAGAAGACCCTAGGCCTTTTGTTTACTTTGGAATTAAGAAAAATGGAAAAATACGTAGATTCTTGGGCACTGTTGGGATTGGAGGCTGGATAGAGGCTTCCCTCTCCCAGTGGGTAATGTGGCTGTTGTCCAAGAGCCTAAATGAAAGCTTTTACCACTGTTACACAGTGCCCTTACAACACCTTATGCATAATTGGTGTTCAAAGAGTATTTTTTAAAATAGCCCATTTGACCAGCCTAGGAGAGGCTACCTCATGAATTAAAGTGTGTAATAAATCTTAGAATGAAAACATAGTTCTCTTTTCATTGGTTTTATGTTCCCTGGGGTACCAATAATGCCTTTCTAAGAGAATGGAAGGAAAAACTATGAGTGCTGAAAGATAGCAAACCAACACTTTTCCTGCTGCCTGTTGAAGGTGAGCCTCACTGGCTCAACCCTGGGGTGTTACCTTAAACAAACCTCTTCTACAGGCTCAGTTCAGAAGCCAGCAGAGGAGGAGGAGGAGGAGGATGTCTCTAGGTTTCAATAAAACCAGGGCCAACTTTCTCTTCTCTTCCTACCCAACTACCTTGCAAATAATCACATGCCTGTGGAGAAAGCAAGAGGATACTGGATCAACAGAAGGCCAAACTCATTTTTCTCTCCACCCCCCTGGAAGGAGTCATGCTATCTACAATAAAACACTGAAACAGATATATAGTCATGGAAAATCCATCCCTCAGAATGGATCCATGCATGTATACTATGTTTAATCTCTTCTACCAGTAATGATAAACGGGTTTCATACACTCTGACAAGGCCGTTTAAACAGAGAATAAAGAGCCGGGCTCGGTGGCTCAGCCTGTAATCCTGTGCCTTTGGGAGGCTAAGGTGAGTGGATTGCCTGAGCCCGTGGGTTCAAGACCCGCCTGGGCAACTTGGCGAGACCTCATCTCTACAATAAATAAAAAACTAGCCAGGCGTGGTAGCGCGTGCCTGTAGTTCCAGCTACTTGGAAGGCTGAGGTGGAAGAATTGCCGAAGCCCAGCAGGTCGAGACTGCGGTGGCTGGGAGCAGCCACTACACTCCAGTCTGGGCAACAGAGTGAGACTCCAACTCAAAAAAACAAATAAATAAATAAAAATAAACAGAGAATAAAGAAAAAGGGGGCCTCAAGCAGAGATGCTTAGAAGAGCTAGTACCCAGTTTCCGGAAAACAGGACTCCACTATTCATGCTTTCCCTGAAATATCAGCCTCACCTGCAATGGGGGGCCCAGCAATCATTGGCAGGGCCATCATGCCCAAGAGGTAGCCAATGGCCTGTGAGGCCTGCATTGGGCCAACCAGCTCAAATGCGATGGGGGCCATGATTGTGATGAAGAAGCCATCGCAGAGGCCTAGGAAAAGGCAGACGACGATGAGGCCCCCAAAGTCTCGGCACAGAGGAATCATCATGGACATCAGGCCCAGGAGCAGGAAGGAGAGGACCTAGAGGAACAAGGGCCTGAATCATGTGCTGGCCAGCCAAGACCACATAGCAAATCACATATCCTTTCTTAGGTCTTCAATTCTACCATCTATAAAATGGGGTGGGGGTGGGGGTAGTGTCAACAAGGAGAGCAGCTGGACTAAATAGTTACTCAGGCCCCTTTTAAGTCCTGCACCAAAGAACTCAAAGTTTTTAGGAGAGCCCCAGCTTAACTGTGATTTGGCCTTTACTAAAAAAGAGGGGCAAGACTTAGCCTCTGGCCTCAAAACGTTTTTCTTTGCACTGGACCCTGAGATAAAGGAAACTGCTGTTTCTGCTTTCTGAGCCTGTGTTTGGCTTACCTAGAGATGAGGGTCTGGGATCAGGCTATACTGGTGTTTTTGTATTCAAGTAAAGTATGGAAAGAAGGAGAGGGAGAAGTAAGGATGGCTTGCATAATGATTAGATGGGGCCGGAATGTAAGGTACAGCCTCCTGAAATGGGGAAGGAGCTAGTGCCCATTTTTGTGGGGAGCTGACCCTAGAAAATAATTTGGCATGAAGGAGATCACAAGGAGGCACACTCAGGTTGCTATGCTTTAGGACTGTGGTCCTCAACATTTTTGGTACCAGGAACCAGTTTTGTGGAAGACAGCTTTTCCACAGGGGGTGGGCGGGTGGATGTGCAGTCAAATTTCACTGCTAATGTTAATCTGTATTTGTAGCTGCTACCCAGCACTAGCATCACCACTGTGGCTCTACCTCAGATCACCGACATTAGATTCTCATAAGGAGTGCACAACCCAGATGTTTCACATGCGCAGTTCACAGTAGGGTTTGCACTTCTGAGAATCTAAGCTGCTGCTCATCTGACAGAAGATGGAGCTCAGGTGGTAATGCAAGTGATAGGGAGTGGCTGTAAATACAGATAAAGCTTCACTCGCTTGCCCACCGCTCACCTCCTACTGTGAGCCAGTTCCTAGCGGACCACAGACTGGTTCTGTGGCCCAAGGGTTGGGGACCCCTGCTTTAGGACATAGTCCACACTGCCCATTTCAGAAAACTCAAGGCACATGGCTCTGAAGGCCTCTGGGCTTGGCTGAACACCCTGAGAAGGCAACAAAGGGGCCTTTCAGGGGAACCAAGTCACTAGGAGGGTATATAGTGAACTCAAAGCCACCGCAAGAGCACTGACTAGCCACTGGACTTTCTTTGGACTGAGCAAAATAACTCCAAAACAAAGAAACTGTCTTTCCAGAGGCTGGTTTTTCCCTAAGCAGAGAGAAGAGCCACTGCAATAAGGTCATTTGCAATTAGTGTCGGTGAGCCAGACCCGGGCTTCAGGAAAAGAAAGGACCACCCCCCACCACCACTCTCACCCTACCATTGCCAATCCCCTGCAGTTGACAGAGCCACGTCAGAGCCAGGTCGTCCCAGGGCCAGGGCCAAGACCTGATCTATTTACATAGGCTTTAACGGACACAAGGATTTTCCAATAGTTCATACAGGCAGGTCAACTTGCCCAGGAACACATGGAAGGAGTAGGAGTCAAGGCTGTATCATGCCCTAAAGATTTTCTGTGTTATTGCTGGTAATGGGTTTGTTATATTGATGGGTAGACTTTTGGAGAGTATAATGCCATCTGAGGAATGTCATCTGAGGACATCTCTTTGTTAGGGGACCTCTGAACTTTGCCCAGGCAGGTTTGAAGTAGCTAGGCAGAAGCTAGGAGTAAGAAGCCAGATATCCCAGCTTTTCCTCTAGACGATTCACACATAACTATGAGATAAAACCAGACACACCTATCAACCAAGCCCATAATGGCAATTAAGAGTTAATACCATGATATACAAAGGACCCCATTAACTAACTTCGGTCAGCTCTAATTGCTACCTATTGTATCTAGCTGTCTCTTAACATCCTCCATGAGACCTTGCCAAGGTTCAGAAGTTAAAAAATCCTTCTTGGAAATGAGAATCAGGCCTCAAGAACTGGCCCAAAGTAAGGCTGTCCTGCAGGTTGTCACTATTTCCTTTTCAACAGAATGCCCAGGGGTCCAGTGGATGGCTCTTCAGAACCTGAAGCTGTGTACACTTCTTTCCTCCCCAGGCCTGCACTCCTGCATGTGACCCAAGGAGAAAAGGAGGCAAATTCCTGTGGTGGAGTATCTTGAGAAATTCAAGAAAGAAGTTCATCTATTGTCTTGTGCTCTTAGCCTGAGCCACTCAATTTGTAAAATGAGGGATTTGGACTATGAGTTGGGGAAGATATGTTTCAGCTATAATGTTCAAAGATTATTTAATATTATTCCAAGTGATAAAACTAGGTCAAGTAAGAGTAAGAAAAAGGGGCAGGAGCAGTGGGTAAGTGGGAGAAGTGGTCAGCAGATGTGTGTAAGCCTATCTCAGCCTCTAACTAGCTAATGCCTCCCCCTCCCTTGGAACTCCTGCTACATAATAGAAAGCAAAAGAGGCTTGTACTCTACCTCTCTCCTAGGGATTGTGGTGAGAATCACATGAATTATATGGTTATGCAGATGCCAGATTACCCTGATTTCCAGAACCCTTTGGCATCTTGGAGCTGCTAATACTAGCAGGGAAGACCCACAGGGGTAGCATGTGGGAGAGGCTGGGAAAGTCACCTGTACTCCTATGCAAAAAGCCACCCAGAGAAAGCACTTGCTGATATTTGCACAGGAATTCAAAATTCCTTAACTGGTTTGTCTTGATCACAAGATTATCTCTTGGTTTGACCTTGGTCAAAGCACTTTTCATCTCTGAGACTTGACTCTGCCATTCATCACTTAGGGCAAAGTGGAATATGAGAAGAGTGCTGTATAGGAGTTGAGCCCTGCTACTATTGTCTGTATGAGCCTTTCCCTCAGTTTCTCCATCAATGTAATGAGAGGTTGGACTGGATGGACTATAAGGGTAACCCTTGCTTTTCTGACACAGCAGATTCACCAGTTCTTGCAAACTAATACAGAGTCAAACACAGCAAGAAAAATTAATCGTATTTTCATCCAAGACATCTGAAGGTATTTAGAAAAGCACTTGGTACCATCAAAGACAGAGAAATCCCTGCTGTGAGTATACTTCAGGGCCCCTTAGAAGTACTTTTAGGGCTTTTCTAGGAGGTAAGTGAGTCAGAACTATCTTCCTGATAGTTTATTTGTGACTACTTGTTTTCTGGGCTGCCTTTGCCCCTTCTTAGGGTTCTGCACTTGGAACAAAAAGCCCAGCCGCAGGAGCAGAATGCATGAGCCAGATTGGAGAGGCAATACTGCTGTCAGGTAGACAAAGACCAACAACCTGAGCAGTAGTCTGTATTCAGTAATTTGTATGCCAATATTGGCAGGGAAGACCAGAGACAAGTTTATGCAAAAAGTGGCCTCTGGAACATCCATATGGCTACTGTCCACAATATGAGGAAATTCTGTCACTGTCAGAAGAATTAAAACCTTTTTTTAACTTCCCAAAGCCTGGTTTCACCTATATATTTCTTTTGATTCTCACTTGTGAGGTGAGATAGGAAAGGCAAGAATTATTCCCATTGTACAAATGAGTAAAGAGGTTTAGCAAGGGAAAGTGAAGTCTGGCCTTTTCTGGCACTTTGTTTTCATTGAGAGGATGACATTTGAGAACCAATGCCTGGTGCCAAGTACCTCTGGAAGTATAAATGTAAGTAGCTCTGGAAATATAAGGTGATAGACCTGGGCCTGGGCCTAGAGGAGAGATACACTGGGGCACAGACTGCTACAGATGCTCAAGACCCTCCAAGAGGCTGGGCATGATGGCTCATTCCTGTAATCCCAGAACCTTGGGAGGCTGAGGTGGGAGGATTGCCTGAGCCCAGGAGTTCAAGATCAGCCTGGGCCACATAGCGAAGCTTTGTCTCTTCAAAAGATTTTTAAAAAATTAATCGAGGCCGGGCTCGGTGGTTCAGCCTCTAATCCCAGCACTTTGGAAGGCCAAGGCAAGTGGATTGCCTGAGTCCGAGGGTTTGAGACCAGCCCAAGCAATTTGGCAAGACTTCGTCTCTACAATAAAATACAAAATAGCCAGTTGTGGTAGCGTGCGTCTGTAGTTCCAGCTACTCGGAAGGCTGAGGCGGAAGGATCGCCGGATCCCAGTAAGTTGACGGTGGGTGGCCGTGAACGTGCATGCCACTGCACTCCAGCCTGGACCAAGGAGTGAGACTCCGACTCAAAAAAATAAATAAATAAATCGGACATGATGGCACACGCCTGTAGTCCCAGGTACTCAGGAAGCTGAGGTGGAGGGATTGCCTGAGCCCAGAAGGTCAAGGCTGCGGTGAGCTGTGATCCTGCTACTGCACTCCAGGCTGGGCGACAGAATGAGATGCTGACTCAAAAGAAAAGAAAAAAAAAAAGACCCTCCAAGAGAATGTAAGGTAGCAACAAGATCAGTCCTTACTTGGGACAGCATCTAACTCCTAGCCTCCGTATATTCCTTTCAGATGGAGAGATATTATTAATAAAAAGTTCTTTTGCAAGTATTCTAAGAGGTTCCATATACACTGCTCTCACTGTGTCCTCACTCCATCTTAGTAAAAGAAGCAGAACAAGGATTGTTGTCTGTCTGTAAGCAGGGGAAACACAGGCTCAGAGAATTTGATTGATTTTCCTATGTTGCAAAACAAACTGGTCAGAACTGGGTCTATATTCCAAAGGCTGGGGATAACCTAGCATTTGTGATAGGCTGTTCCTCTCCACAGTAAACAGGCAGTCACACTTACCTGCAAGTAGATCTTCTTAAGTCCAGGAATGGAGTCACTGATATGGCCTGACACAAGACGCCCAAGGCCTGAGGTAGCCCCGATACACACCAAGAGCACCCAGGTCTCCTTGATTTCCAAGAACTCTTCTTCCACATACTTCATCTGAAAAGCATAGCACCAGGACCCCCAGAACAGAAGGAGGAAGAGGAGCTGACTGGTTAACTGTTGGCATATTCAGAATCCTCTATTGCTTCCTTTCCTGGACCAGGATAAGCGCTTCCTCCCCTGTAGTCCCCTTCCCTGTTTCTCTAACTCCAGGAAAAGCTCTCTGGCTTCTTCTAATAGACTAAAGTCTGCATATTCCTTGGCTCTTTGGATTCTGGACTTCTAAGCAATAGCTGAGGAGGGTGAATATCTCCAAGCCCCTTCTAAGCCCTGGCAGGACAGAAAAAAAACCCCTAAATAACAGAAAATCCAAGGGTTCCTCTACAGCCTCCCCATTTCCTGACCTCAAACTGACAGCCTGGGGTAACATCAGGTCACCAGGGCAAAAGGATCCACCAACTTCCAGGCAACTTTTCCAAAGCATATTTTAGAAAACATGAGGTCTGTGAAGGATAACAGCTGATTACAACTAACAGTTTTGTGGCCATATAAGTTTGGTGGGTGCTGACTTAAAGCTGAATGGGTTTCTTTCCCATTTAGGATTTTGTAGTGCCTTTAAGATATTACTACACATCATGAAGCTATCACTACACATTATGAAGCTAGAACTTTGGAAAAGTTGCAGTCTATCTACATTTTTACTTTGAGAGAAGCCACAATTCATAGGCTTCCTGCTAAGGAACTCCCCCCATTTCCCACTGAGGTCCTCCCTCAATCTATGCTTTTCCCCGTCTCTGAATCTCTCCAACTGCTGTTTTGTCTCTTTGTATAGGTCCCAGTTCTGTCCTTTCAATATCCCCCCACCCCTGACTCTAAGCAAGTTGAGGGCAGCATTTTGAAGCCAGGTGGGGTAGGCCCACACTGGTATTCCTCACCAGGTGTACATAGGGAACAAAGTAGCCAAGGGCAGCAGCAGCAATCCCGAAGACCCAGATGCGGTAGGTGCGTTGGCGGAACACTCGCATGTTGAAGTACTTCCTGAGCTGAGCCAGAAAGCGCTGGTGCAGGGTGCGGACACCTCTCTTGCTTGGGGTGTCCTGGGAGCTGGGCAGGAGGGGCCGGTAGGTGAGTGAAAGCAGCATAAGAACAAATATGAAGGTACTCAGCACCTGAAAAGTTTGAGCCAGCTTGATTTTATCCCCCAGCATTTTGATGAGGAAGGGGAATGACATGGAGAAGATGCTACTCCCAGCAGACACCACACCATTGGCTAGACCCAGGCGGCGTTGGAAGTAGTGGCCCAAGATGACGAGGGATGGCTGAAAGGCGAAGGAACAGCCACAACCAAAGAGAATTCCATAGGTGAAGTAGCGCAGGCTTAGGGAGCTGTGGGAGAGACACCAAGAGTTGTCCTCAGCAGTCTGGCCAGCAATCTACCTGCCCTCCCCTGTCAGCCTCCTGAAACCTCCATCCTTCCACCCTTAACCCGCAGCCCCACTTGCCACTGACCTTCAGAGCAGACAAGAAACAGGGCATTCTGATCCCCATGTTGCAGACAGGGATGCAGAGGCTAAGAGAGGTAAAGTAATTTGCCCAAGGTAACAAACATAACTGGGAATCAGCAAAGCTTGGACTTGAATCCAGGTCTGTGTGATTCTAGCATGAATCATAGCACTCCATCAAAGAGGACTGTTCAAAAGAAAGCCAGAACCAGCGTATGCAAAGCCTGGATGAGGGCTACAGGGAGTAAGTCAGTGCCTTAGAGAGAACCTTACTGCTCACCTAGATACCATGGATAGGCTGGTGGCTAAAGTTTTATCCCAAGCAACAACAAAGGCCTGCAAGAAGTCAAGATCCTGGAAGGTTGAAACCCTCCCTAGTGTCTTCAGTGTCTTCCTCTATGCTCAAGGGCCCTTAATATTTCAGAGAATGGATGATGAACTCGTAGGAGACACTCCCTTCCTAACTCGGCCCAAAGTCTAGATGTCCCGAGGCCCTTTACACTAGGCCCTGGATGATCTCCATGGGGATCATAAGGTAAGGAGTCACTTTAACTTCCAGAGTTCTGCCTCTGTTGCTAGATGTGGTATGGATTTGTTCTCCAGAGTAGCTTGGCTTCTTGACAGGAAGTAGAACCTCAAAGAAGTTGTGTGCCTGGCCAAATAAGACAGGTTCTGGATTAAAACCATTAGGCCCTGCTGTGGCCATAAACCTCTGTAACAGAAGGTAAAGCGTCAGAAGGGGAAAGGCCATAGGAAGATCAGCTTGGCCAGCCATAAGCCCCCAGACAATATTGGCACAATCTAGTGAAGAATTTTGTTTTCTTTTTGATGCCTCCATATATTTTGCAACAGTTCTTATCTGACCACTTAATTACCTAATACTCTTCATGGTCAGGCCATTCCTCCCTAGAGATAGACTCAGTCCTCATACTAAAGGACTGGGCCTATGCTGCAGAGGCTACCATCCATGATTCCAAAATAGCTATCATCATTGTTGCTTTCCATCTGCTTGTATTCACTGGATATGAGCAAGGACTTTGTATTCAACAGGGTTGTCTCCATTTGGAACATATAGTAAAGCCAGCTGCTCCTCTTCTGTCAGGTTCCTTTGGACCTGGTCCCATTAGATTCTAGGTACCCTATGAGATTGACCTAGGCTGGGAGCCTTGTCTAAGGGCCCTTTTCTTAGACTTTCAGGGAAGGGTCTGGTGGGGGCAAAACATGGGATTTGGTTGATAGGTCTATTTCTAGTTGGGCCCGGGGCAGGAGGCCCCTGAGTTGGAATTTCCAAAGCCCAACCAGTCCTGCCTGTACTCTGCACCATTCCACATCATCCAAAGGAACTCAGAGCTCTGACTGAGACAACAGGAAGGATGACTTGGAGCTCTAGCGACAAGAAGAACCATTTTTCCACTGGATATGAAGCCATCCAGAAAGTTTCTTGGCTCTGACAAAACAGAGGGGATAGGGGAGGAGATAAGGTCTAGAGAATAGAGCGCCTACTCCAATGTGCCTAAAGAAGCAAGAGGAAGAAAACACATCTGAGCTCCCTTCCCTCCTGTAACTGTGTTCATGTGGATTGTGAGGGAAATGGGATCCGTATGTTACTAATTTGTTTACACTTTGCTCTACTTGGCCTTAAAAAACAGACCTCTGCTGTACAGTTCTGAGACTGGAGCCACTTCTGGGGCCTAGCTCCTTCCCACAAGAAACCAGGCACCAGCTTGCTGGGGGCAAGTGAGGCTGACCACCAGAGAGGTCCTGGAAAGGTTTGGAGTTGCTGCTCTGGGAGGGCTGAGCAGGTTCCAGGCAGGACATGATTTTTCTCTCCTCTGTCCCAGTTGGATAGGATGAAGTCAAGAAACAATTGTAGGCTAAATCTAAGCTCTGCTGAGGGATGGGCTAGGCAGAAGGAAATGCTCAAGTCATAAAGAAAGCTGGCTCACCCTCACAGGGCCCAGTTGAAGCAGAACACAATTATCATTCTCTACTGTGAGTGGAACCTTAGGCCTAGAGAGCCATAGCTCTTCTCTGGGGAGTCAAACTCAGAAAGCAAGTCCCTGACAAGTTAGCTCTGCTCTCATCCCAGACATGTCACTGTAACCATATCTGTGTTTCCAGGCTAGCATTCTTCTACATCAGGCAGATTGGAAGTAGAAGGTACCATAACTTTCAAAGTGTCTTTGGCAGGAAGTCAATGGAATTCTTTTGGAATTCCATATTCCTCAGGCTGTGGTTATAAGGTCTTTATTCTCCCTTCCCTTACACACTTGCTTCTGCAGAGCTGGCAGAAAAGAAAATAGAAAATGAACTTGTAGCCTGCTTCTCACCTGGCATGCTTCTCACCTGGCACTAGCAAGTTCTGTCAGTGGGACCAGGATTTGCTTTTAGCCTAGATCTAGCTAGATAGCTAGATTCTAGGTCTGTATCTCAGTGAGAGGGCTTCTAAACATCCTCCTTGTGACCAACGTGAATCTTTATCTATCTCAGATCATCCATATGTCACCAGCCAGAGATACATGGAAAAAAACCAGAAATGCTAAACATCTATAGGCTCAGCTGACCTCTTTTTCTGCATAAGATTACTTTAGGAATCCTGGAATGCTAGGTATTCATATATATGGACTCACTCAAGAAGCTCATTTTTGAAAGGTAGGGCAAGGTCATGAGATGTGTGACACAATGAAGGGGAATTAAATAGCAGAGCTAGAAAAGACCTAGAAATGCTATCTGGCCTAATTCATTTATGTTACAGATACAGAAATTGAGGCTCAAAGAGGAGAATGGTACTCATTAATTGTTCCATAGCCATTAGTGTCCAAAACTGGACTTAGGCCCACCCTTATGAATGATCAGGTTTAGGTTCCTTCCACCGCTTTGGAACTCTTAGGTCCTTTCTGGGTTATTCCCTACCAATGTGTCCTGGAGACCCTACCTAAATGAGTCCCATTGGATTATGAATCCTGGAAGCAGGGTCTTTGAGTGCCCAACATGGCCATGGCCATAAGGGATTCTGCAATGAGAAGAATTTCACTAGCTGAAGGCCTTAGGGAAATGTCCAGCAACCCCTAGCCTTACCTGGTGAAGGAGCTGGTATGGAGGCCAATGAAAGCAACTGCAGCCCCTGCGGTTGCTGTGATTCGGCAGCCCAAACGGTCAGTGAATATACTCACAATGGGAGAGCAGAAGAAGATCATACCCATCGCAAGGGCTCCTACCCATGCTGCAGAGAAAAGAAGTACAAAGATGCTTTAGCTTAATGTAGTGCCTGGTGGTGGTGCTGCTGGTATTTCATTTCTTCTCTGGCATTTCAGAGGAATCATTGCATTGGTCTTCAGTGACAGTTTGCTAGTTTTTGATGGTCAGAAAGGTGTGCAGGCAGATAGTAGATATAAAACAAGGGATTCTAGCATTGGAATCAGATTTGGACTAGCCCTTCCCAGGATGCTGAGCCAAATCTATAGCCTTAGGTACTGAGACACTTAGTTTCAGGGCAAGGAGCACCGGGGTCAACCTTTCAGGAGCTAAGGTCAGGCTTGTCTCAGTCACTGAAACAACTCCATGGAGATGCTAAGATTAAAAAGCAGGAAAGGTCACAGACAAAAGCCTCCTGGAATTGTATAAGGATACAGGGGAGGATCAGGGGCCACCCAAAGATTTCTAAGAACAATGTACAAGGCAGTCATGTAACCCTCATGCTAAAATCTTTCACCAGAGCCCATATTTGGCAAATCCCTGATTCTAAATTCAAGAAGAATTTATCCTGTTTTCAGAGGCTCCTAGGTGTTTGTAACAATCCTCATTAGAGGAGGTAATTTGCCCTTTTAGATTCTTCCAGCTCATTTCCCCTTGCTCAGCCCTCAGAAGGAAAGCCCAAACTTTTTTCATCTGAAGGCTGTTATCAAGTTCTATCTTGAGCCTCTCTTTTCTAGGCTAAATAATCTTAGTTCCCTTAACTTTTCCTCCTAGCTTTAGTTTCTAACTCTACTTTCAGAGCTCCCCTCTGAATATGTTCCAACTCTTCATCATCATCATCAATAAGCACTCATTGAGTGTCACCTGAGCAGAATACTGGGCCAGGTTCTAGTTCTTTTCAATTGTAGGGCCCCAAGTGGGCCACAGGAGTACAGTCTTAGTTAGGTCAGCTAGCCCATCACCTGTGTTTCTTACCTCAGTGTCAAATGGATTGCTCAGATCCCCACTGGGAATCTTCACTTTGCTGGAGATCCATACTGAACTCACTCCTGGCTCAAAAAGTACTAGCTTGGCATAGCAGGAAATCTAAATTTTTATCACAATTTCACCTCTTACCTTGCAATTTTACCTCTTTTTTTTTAAGATGTGGGGTACAATTCAGGGTTAGGTATACAAACATTGATTATGCAGGTACTCTTTTTGATGAGGTGTGTTCCTCCCTCCCCTTGCAGTTACCCTCAACTGTCAATTCCACCCCCTCTCCCCTGGCAGTTTCCCATTACTGCCAATCCCTTTCTTATAGTATCACAATCATTGTTCAAGGTCCGCTTATGAGTGAGAACATATGGTACTCTGTTCTTTGCTTCTGTGATAGATCACTGAGTAAGATCGACTCTAAATCCATCCAAGTTACTGCGAAGTCCATATGTCTGTCCTTCTTTATGACTGCATAATATTCCATTGTGGATATGTACCAATTTTTTTTTATCCAGTCCAGCTTTGATGGGCAGCATGGTTGGTTCCATGTTTTTGCTATTGTGAATAGAGTTGCAACAAACACACATATGCAGGTGTCTTTTTTGTAGAATGATTTGAGTTCCTCCTGGTATATTCCCAATAGGGGAATTGCTGGGTCATATGGAAGGTCACTTTCTAGTTCTTTCAGAAATCGCCACACTGTCTTCCAAAGAGGTTACGCTAGTTTGCATTCCCACCAGCAATGTAGAAGCGTTCCTTTTTCTCCACATCCTTGCCAGCATCTGTTGCTGATTGTTTTATTAATGATGGCCATTCTTACTAGGGTTAGGTGGTATGTCAGCGTGGTTTTGATTTGCATTTCTCTAACGATGAGTGAGGTTGAGCACTTTTTCATGTGTCTGTTGGCTGCCCGTATATCTTCTGTTGAGAAGTGTCTATTCATGTCTCTTGTCCACTTTTTAATGGGGCTGTTTTTTTTCCTTTCGACATGTTTGAGTTCCTTGTAGATCCTAGATGTTAGGCCTACAGTTGGCAAATATTTTTTCCCATTCTGTGGGCTGTCTCCCTACTCTCTTGATGGTTTCTTTTGCTTTGCAGAAGCTCATTAGTTTGATGTGGTCCCACTTGTCTATCTTATTTCTTATGGTATGGGCACTTAGGGTTCTGATCAGGAATTGGTTGCCAGTTCCAATTTCCCTAAGGGTGTCTCCTGCATTTTCTGCAGATTCTTATATTTTGAAGT